ATTTTTTAATTATTTATAATAGACACTTAGGGTAGTCTATTTATTTGATTTAAGAGACTTACCATGTTTTATCTAGACAATGACCCCATACTAAGGGGCAACTACAATATCATTTAATGTGAAATTTACTATCTAACAATAAAAAATCAATGTCCTATTGAGCAACCCACCTCCAAAAAAGTATCAATAACTTTGAAATCATTAATCTATTTTTAAAATAGTAAAATTAGATGGATGCTTACAATAATATCACCAATACTGCTTAATATTTAGGGACATATGAATGGATAAAAAGCATTTAAATGATATCCATTTAAAGAGGCAAAGAAGGAAGAAAATCATTTATAGAGTTGCTAAGAAAAACAATCCATGCTAAACAATATTTGCAAATGCATCCATCCTCTGAAGTAAGAGATGAAAAATATATGACTACAATCAACTGATAATTTAATCAGGACTCCAAAGCCCATCCAATAGAGGAAACATTGAATAAAGGAGAATAATGGGACCAATCTAAGTATGGAAGTCACCTCCAAGTTAGGTGGCAACACTTTTTTTGGTCGATCATGGTTATGGATTTTAAGTCTAAGCTCCCTATAGTGCATGTAGATTACCTATAATTTATCTTCAGGAAAAAGGTAGGGAAACATGTACATAACATAATGCTTTGTTTGAATTATGGGAATTGGGAGATAGAAATAGGAAATGTAGATTGAAACTATAATTCTGGGCATGTTGATGTGTCAAATTCAAGTCAATTAGAATACTCATAGATTTTTAGTTTAATCATTTAGTAGCAATTTGAATATTTTTTTATTCCATGTCTTTATTGAGTAATATAGATTAATAATATATTAATAATTATGAAATCAGTAATAATAATAAGTATATTATTATTACTATTATTTACTAATAATATATTCCTATTATGTGAGTATTGATTTTGAAATCAGTAATATGAAATTATTATTATTATTATTATTATCATTATTATTATTATTATGAAATAATTAATTTGTTATAATTATGATTTTTAGTTAATTCCTGAAATAATAATTGCTTTTATATTTCTTTTAGTTTAACATGGATAATTCAAAGTCTATAATTTAATTTTAGACTTTGTAATAATAATAATATAATTGTATTAACTATTATAATATTATTAATTATAATTACTTATAATAATATAATTAATTATTTCATATAAATATAAGTATTATAATTTCTGATGATAATATAATATAAGAATCATCATTTTGACTTAATAATGAGCAATATTGTGAGTAATAAATTATCAGTAATTATTATAAGAAATAATTTTCAGTAATTAATTATTATCAGTGAGTAATTATAATTAGTAAATAATAGTTGGAATTAATTAATTAGAGGTAGTTAACAGTAATTAATTAGTAATTAGCAATAATTATTATTAGTAATTAATAGTTGTAATTAATTAATTAGAAGTAGTTAATAGCTGGAATTAATTAATTARTTTAGTAGTTAATATTAGTTAATAGCACAACTTCCTCTTTTTTATGAAATGATTGAAATTGGGAGTTTCTCACTTCTCACAACTTTGCATGGTGGTAAGCTCCACTCTCTATGTTAGTGGGGTCTTTTCTTGAACTATCACTAATTAGAATTTGACACATGTCTAGTGGGCTCTGTTCTTGAACTACTACTAATCAGAATTTGACACGTGTCCATTTTGTTTAAATCATTGGAATGGCAGGTGTCTGAATGTAAATGAGCCACATATCTGACTATAGGGAGCTTTGGCCTAAAATCATTACTTTATATATATAGATGTGATTAGTTACTTGGAACCCTAAACCTAAAATTGTTGTCATTGCAATTCTTTTAGCGATCCCTTTCAGGAATGAAGACCCTAACAGAAGCTCTCCATTTATACATACTATACTCATAAGTTAAAGGGTAAATTGCTGAAACCTCCCCTAAAGTTTAGCAATGACAATCACCTCCCCTAAACTTTCTAATATTGTTGCAAGTAGACCGACCTCCTTTGTTCGAATCTTCTAAAAAGTGGATGAAAATGTCTAAAATATGCATGCAATTACTTTTAACCAAAATGTTTGTTTTCCAAATTTTCTCTTCACATTAATCACTAGCCTAAACTCTTTTCAATCTCTTTTTTAAAATTGATTGTTTTGTTCAAATTGCCCTTCATATCAATCGCTCAAAGGGTAAAGATACAACTTTAAATTTACTATTTTTTTATTTTTTATAAAGTTTGAATTATTTTTTTATAGAAAACCAGTCTCGATAGGAATTGCATGGATATTTTAGATATTTCTGTGCCTCTTGTTAGCAAGTGTTACTCGGTCAGAAACTTCAAAAAAGGTTTTAGCAACACCAGGGGAGGTGTTGTTAGCTAACAAAAGCACCAACATTGATAGCTAATGCCTACTATTTCCTTTATAAGTTTGGAACCCAATTCAAATTCAGTCCATATTTGTAAATGGTCGGATCCTAAGCCTCTTTATTAGATCCACGTAACTCAAACCTGGACCCAGATCTGTTTCATGCCCTATTAGATATATTTTCCTCGGGCAAACTTCAAAACAATGCAAGCTATTAGCTAGATAGAGTTGAATTCTGAACTGAATTCATGACAAAAGTTTGGGGACTGTTTGCTGGATCCAAGTGGAGATTTTCAATTTTAGGTGTCGGTGGACGAAACTTAAAGCATTAATCTAAACGTACATATACAAATTGAAAGAAAAGAAAAAAGAAAAAGAAACTGGGGTCCTAAGCCATTAAACGGTTTCTACCATTTCCGACATTAACTCAGCACTAAATTAATCTATAGATGACATAAACAAATGAGCTAAACTGGGTGCTACGAGATCCAAAACCTTTTCAACAACGTGAGCTAGGCTCAACAAAGTTGGGTTTTCTTATTATTTCTTTTTCTTTGTTTCATGATTTTCACCTATAATAAACAAGGTGGAGCACTCTCCTCTCGTCTCGAGGCTCAGAATATTGGCATAACGCATATTCGAAGAATGTACGACGAAGAAGAAAGAAGAGAACTAAAACTCAGAATTCAGATGTAGCTTTCCATGTTCATCAATTATTAGGCGTGTACGTCTGGACAATAAAATTAAACATGACATAGATGATAGATCGGGTATAGCTAGAAAGAGGCTCCCGCATTCTCCAATGGTTGAGGGTGGTGACAGTGACAGACACCATTTAATTAATTTCTTAATTAGTTTGAGATGGATTTACTAGCTTTTTAATTTGAAACATAAACTGAATAATTCAATGGGTGTGGAAACTAGAGAGATGATTTGGTGTTGAAAAGCTGGTTTGAGTCTCCAATTTTAGAACGAAAAGTAAATTTTTGTTGGAATCATGTGTTAGAAAAGAAAATTGAAAATTTGAAAAATGATTCTAAGGGTCTGTTTGGTTTACAGTTAGAATTGGAATTAAAATCTTTTCGAATTGTCTGTTCTCATCATTTGTTTGGTTCGAATAGGAATCAGAATGAAAATTAGAATTAGTTGAAATGAGATTTCATTCTCAAGAGAAGGAAAAGAAATAACCATTCTCTCAAATGGGAGAATGCCATTCCAATTCCACCTGACCAAACAGTTGAATCAAAATGGGTCATTCCGATTCCAGACCTCTACTCCTGTAAACCAAACGGGCCCTAAGTTATCTGTCGAGGCTGTTATACTCTGTTGCATCAAAGGGCCAGCCCTAATTTGGTCAGCAATGTCTCCGTGGTCCCCCTTCTGATTGCTTGAGAGA